TGCACATGCACATGTGCACACATGCCATTAGAATTTGGTTTTTTACTTGGATAGTTTTTTCCAGTTGACATTGTATGATTTTTTTTGAATTTAACATTGTAATGAACAGAAAAAAGAATTCAAAGTCAAGATTTGAAGCTATGAAATTGAAACAAAAAGATCTTCATTGAATTACTCATGTATTTTCCTATTCCTTGTTTGGTGAAATTGTGACAACACACACACACATACACACGCCATTAGAATTTTTTTCTCACACAGACAGTTTTTTTTTTTCAGCCTAATTTTCTTCTTTTTTTATCTCATTTAACATAATGGATGGAAGAATGAATTTTAAGTGAAAGATTTGAAACAAAAAAATTAAAATTAAAAGTATTCTTTGAAAAACATTTAAAATTGTTTGAGATTTCTAAAGATTATTTCAGACAGTTCAGCTAGAAATCTGTTTGCTGAGACATGATATTTAGAAGGATTTCCTTTTGGCTTTTAGTGGGCTGAAATTTTTGACTATTTTATTCTTGAGGGTTTGTATTACAATTACTGAAGTCAATGTTGAATAATATGGTCTTAGTGATTGTTGTTGATTTGAAACAAATAAACTTGGCATGTGAACTAATCAGGCCCCTGAAGTCATTACTGATTATTTTTTACTTTTTATTTAATTTTTCTTGTGTTCATACAAGTGTTTTCTTTTCTGGACACAAAGTGTGTAAAAAAAAACTGGTCCAAAAGTTCTGCAGATCTGAGCACTTTCAGCTATTCTTTTAGTATTTTTTATGCATGTATGAATCTAAAGTTATGGAAATATTTTATTTTCCACAAATGGTCAGCACATTATTGATGATATTTCTAGGAAAAAATTTGTCTTGCTTGTAGTTAACATGTATTTGTTTTTTTTTATAGCTGTTTATGTCATTGTTTTTATCTGTATGTTTAATATTGCTATTATTTACTTTAGAAAGCAATAATCTAATCTGGTGGTTGATGAGATAGTTAGGAAAACTAATGTTAACTAACATCTGTGTTTACATTATTGAGATCTTTAAGGAAAAGGGGAGGGCAGTATGAATTCTAACATGTACTCTCTTGAGGAAATTTTTATAACTACTATTTTATATCTAAGTGAACATTCACTCTTAAAATTACGGTGACAAGAGTTCCTCCTCATGGGTTTTTTATATAATGAAATGGTGAATATGCTATTGCTGAATTCTGTGTGAACATCTAAGAATGGGAGATTTTATTTTTTTCATTAAGTTCACAGGTAAAGTTAAGGACAGAGTTTTGTAGATTATAGATTTCTTATTTGTTTTCATTAAAATAAAAATGTTTTCTACATAGCAGACATATTTTGTGTTTAGTAACTTTTTAAAATATTGTTTTCTACATGTGACATGTAGTAGTTTTTACACACTTTCTGTCCAGAAAAGAAAACACCTGTAGAAATATGAGAAAAAATTAAATAAAAAGCTTAATCGCAGTACCTTGTCAGATGTCTTTAACAAAACTTATATATATATATATATATATATATATATATATGAGAATATTAAAAATAAAATGATTGAAATACTAGAGAAGAAATATCAAAATTATTCATATAAGACTGAATGTTACTTGGTTTTCATCCAAGTTCTCTATTTTGCCGAGGTCTTTTTGTGTATTTTTTACAAATTAATGAAATTCTAATATTTGGGTTAAATTATGTCTTATATGCTGTAGAATATGGTAATTCAACATTGGCTTATTTTTTAAATTATGATTTTAAAATTATTGTGAATTTCAAGTAGCTTTTTGTTTCCAAAATTTGAATATTTTGATATTTAGAATTTTAAAGAAAATTCATATTATTAAAACCTCTTGTGTTAAAAGTGATTTTAGAGATTTTTGAATTTTCAAAATTGATTCTACAAAATTCTCTTAGAAAGCTCTTCAGATATTTATTGGTTTGGAGGAACTGAAGGAAATGATTCTTAATTAATGTAATGTTTCCTCTTTTTCAGTCTTTATAAATTTCTATTTCCTTTTAAAAATCTGTTAATATTATTTTGTTCCTTACCTATTGATTTTATATTTTGTATTTACACTATTTATATTGTTCAGACTGTTAACCTGATCTTTATTATCATATCCACAATGTTTCGGCCATTGTACACTCCTGCCTTCTTCAGGTGATATGTGTTGGAATTTTGAACTGAACCTTTGGCCCAGTGGATAAAAACATTGGTTGAAGTAATCCCGTGACGTCACAAAAACTTGTGAGTTCAATACCTGGCTGCAGAGGTGAACAAAATCAAAAAAAAAAAAGTTGAATTACTAACAGGAAATAACTGAAACTGAGATATCCAGAAAATGTATGGCATGTGGCACAAGAACAGTCTACCCGAGTGGACTATATAAAGAGTTTGAAATCCCAACAAATATCACCTGAAGAAGGCTGTAGCATACAACAGCTGAAACGTTGTGAATATGGCAATAAAGATGAGGACAACAGTCAGAACAATGTAAATAGTTACAATACCTAATCTCAGAAATATAGACAGATGTTAATATTTTGTATTTGTATGAATATTAAATTGTCAGTAGTTATTTAATCTCTCTAAAGTTTAGCTCATTACTGGACCCCAATTTGAGAAATTCAACCAGTCGGAGTTAATGTTATGATGAACATGAATCCCTATAGAAGAAAATAAAAATATATATTTTATCTTCTGCACTATTTTGGTTAAAACTAAAAGAAATTATTTAAATTATTCAAATAGGAAAGGGTTCATCTTACAAATTTATTTCTTATTTTGAAAGTTGAAATAATGAACAAAACAGATTTCTGTCATTATGTTATTCTGTCAGGAATGTTTGGGCTATAAATGTCTCGAGATGCATTTGATTTATGCAGATATTATTTTGATAGGATGAACAAGTGATTTTTATGTCTCGAACAACTGATGACAAATTACCACAGGGAAAAAGAATCTTTGTAGGTATTTATTATCAATCATAATTTTCTGGAATATCTTTGTTTTGCTCACAAGACACTCATGTTTTGTGCTGTGTGGAGGTGTAACAAAGTTATTTCCATCTTGGTTTCATTTTATGAATCTCAATTTAAATTTTATTTCATTGCATTATTGTAAAAAGAAATAAAATGTACCATCAATTTGGTTGTGACTGTAATAGAAGTAGTTAAATAAATATGAAAGATAAATGAGAGATTTGAGTTTTATGATTGGGTTGAGAACACAATCATTGAAAAAACCTGTAGAAGATGAATTGTAAACATGAAAATGAAACACTTCTACAAATTTAGTAAATTTAATTTATTTAAATGTGTTTAAAAGTAAAATTATTTTGTGACAGTTCATAGAATAAAAACATGAAATAGATAAAATTTCTTTGTTCAAATGCCAAATAGATTTTTTTTATTTGTGTGCATTGCATTTCCCTTTTGTGTATTTGAATTTTGATACACAATACCCATGAAAATTACACAGTTTTCCAAATTAAATATTCAGTTTAATCTTAATTGATTTAATGATTGAATTCATTACTTGCAAGTTCCATGACTATAAAATACCCATAGAAATTCCCTTATTGATTTGTTAAATATTTGATCTTCACAACCTTAACAAAATGTTACAACCACAACCATAAATATGGATGTAGATCATTATTTGATGAATTAAGAGTGTACAATGAAAATATTAAAAATTGGTAAAATTTTCCATTTCACAGAAGCAGACATTAAACACATGAGTGTTATCACTTCCTCTATCTTCCCTTTATTTCTTTCCTGAAAAGCAAAACAGCACCTTTTGATATATGTCTTTTCTTTTATCTCATCTTGCAATCAAACAGCAATGGACCATTGTTTATCTTAGGCAATGGCATGTGGGCTTTTGCCTCCTCTACCTCACTTTCTTTCTTTCATTCTTTTTTTTCTTTTCTTCTTTCTTTGAGTTTTTTCTTTGATTTCTTCTTTCTTTCTTTCTTTCTTGATTCCTTCTATCCTTTTGATTTGTTTTTTCTTTCTTTTTCTTTTATCTTTCTTTCCCTAAAACCAAAAAAGCAACTTCAATATACAGGCTGCAATGGATAAATTGTCAAGGAAATTATGCAAAAATGAAAATAACACTGACATTGCATTGTAATCGATATATTTACTGAAATTACACAAAAATATCTTGAAATATTAAAGACTAAATTTGTTCAATAAAATCGCCATTGGCTTCAACCATAGCCACCAGACAATTTCAGAATCTCCTGCATCTCTTCTGGACAGTCTTCTTGTTGTTGAATGTTGGTATAATCCTTGCCTTCAATTCACCTTTGGTGTTACAGAGAGTTTTGTTGGTCTCTCGCTCAACTGCACCCCACACATAATCAAGAGGGTTGCAGTCTTGGGATTTAGGTGGCCAAATGTAAGGAGTGATGTGGTCACAGAAATTGTTTGACAGTCATGACTGGCTTATCCTGCTTGTGTGGTATGGTGCAGAGTCCTCTTGCCAGACACAGGGTCTTCAATTAGCTACCCTCTTGACCCAGGGCAGCACTCACCTCCTCAAGGCACTTATAGGTCTCCATGTTAAGTCTGAGGCCATTAGCAATAAATCTGAGAGTTCTTTTCTTATCAGTTTTCTGAGCTGCTGTACTTTTGTAATCACCATTAGATTCATCAAACTCTTTCTGAATTCTCCGCTCTGTCCTTAGATTGAGACCCAAACACTTTGAAATGTTCATATTGCAGCTTCCAGTATGAATGCCAAGCAGTACAGCAGGCTGTTTCCAAATTTCTGGTGAAGTGAATTGTCATGGTGATCTTTTTCTCACAGATGGTGCCCAACTGACCCTACTATACTGTGCATTTGACAAAATCAAAAACAAATAATGCACATGCACAAAATTAAAAATATCAAAAGGATAACAATTTACCCATTGCACTCAGTATCTTTTCTTCTGAGTTATTGTTGCAATCAAACAGTTTGTGAGGTAATGGCATGTAGGTTTTCTTTCTTTTTTCTTTCCTTTTTCTTCTTTCTTTTCTTTTTCTTCTTTCTTTCCTTTTTCTTTTTTTCTTTCCTTTTTCTTTTTTCTTTTCTTTCTTCTTTCCTTTTTCTTTCTTCTTTCCTTTTTCTTTTTTCTTTCCTTTTTCTTTTTTCTTTCCTTTTTCTTTTTTCTTTTCCTTTTTTCTTTCCTTTTTTCTTTCCTTTTTCTTTTTTCTTTCCTTTTTCTTTTTTCTTTCCTTTTTCTTTTTTCTTTCCTTTTTCTTTTTTCTTTTTTCCCTTTTTCTTCTTTTTTCCCTTTTTCTTCTTTTTTTCCTTTTTTTTTCCTTTTTTCTTTCCTTTTTCCTTTTTTCTTACCTTTTGATTGGTTTTTTCTTTCTTTTTTATTTTCTCTCCCTTTCGTTAAAAGCAACACAGCACCTTTTGATGTCTCTTTTCTTCAAGTTTGTTTTACAACCAAACAGCAATGGACCATTGTTTATCTTTGGTAATGGCATGTGAGTTTTCACCTCCCCTAACTTTCCTTCATTCTTATTTCTTTGATTCCTTCTGTTTTTGTTCTTCTTTATTTTTTCTTTTCTCTTCTTTTATCTAAAGCTCAAAAGAACCTTTGATATATCTTTTCTTCTGGGTTATCCTTGCAATCAAACAGGAATGTCCCATTATTTATCTAAGGTAATGGCAGCTTTTTTTTAATGTACATAACTAAGAAATGAAAGAACAAACAGAATTAAATGATTCCAAAAGCATGTATATGAGTGTATCAACAGTAATATTAGACCGTAATAGAACAAAAGCTAAATTCAGCTGATCTTAATGCAAGTTCTGTTATTAGTCTAAAGAATGCTGGTAATTAAAAAATAAAAATGAAAGGGAATAAAATATTTACAAAAATGTGTATATATACATATAGAGAATTAAATTTAAAGTTATAAATGAGTAAATGGTGACTTACAAACCATACAAAAATTTTACCAAAGTCTAGATTACTAGGATTAATCATCAAAGCTTAAAGGAAAAAATTGAGAAGTGGATAAAAAATGTACTTTCTTTTTATTTGTTGGTTTAAGAGAGATTAAAATTTGTTATGATTTGATCCTTAAATCCATTTTTAAAGAAGAAATTCTGCAAGTGATAAAAAATATAGCATCCTTTTTTAAGTCTTCTCATTGGTCTAAAAATAGAAATGGCTCATTTCAAATTTCTGAGTCTCTGAAGATTTTTTTTTGCATAAAAGAAAATGACAACTTCTTTTCTGTAGGAAAATAAATAATGTGAACTGAAGAAGCAATGGATCTTTTATTTATTAATCTGACAGATTTTATCACTTAAAAACATTATTTTTAATGGATACCCATATTTGAGTCAATGCTATGTTTATTTATTAAACAGTTTATAAGTTTTTGTTATTGCTAAGTATTAAGTGAAAGGCTAAGTTATACTAATATATTTTATTAATATTTATTTACGGTCAATAAGTTAAGGTACACATTGACTATTCACAGAAACCCAAATAAAGTGTACTTCTTGTTGTATTGCTACACTAAAGAGGAAGTTGAGTGTGCTTAGGGAAGTAGTTACTATGCTACACAGTATATTTATTTTTGCCTGCCAGCCTGAATACTTGAGAAATCTTATTAAAGAAAAGATGTAACCTCCAGCAGGATTAGAACCTGAACCCTCCTTAGAAGGAGAAACCATTCTTAGATCTGACATGCTTTTGAGCAACTGTTGCAGTTTGAGATGAAATTATGAGTTATACTAGAGTGCATGTTTTATAAATGCTGTAAATAAAGCTTGCCAATTCTGCCATATTTTGGTTTTTGTGAACTTATCTTTTTTGACATCAGAGATTCTATTAAAAGTTCTTTACACTGAATCAGATACAAATTAACCATATAAAATATCTCCATTTTTATTTTGTTTTAAATTAAAAAGAAAAAAAAAAACTAAACAAAACAGTTCTCCACTTTGCATTCAGTGTCAAGCTTTCAAAAGAAAAAAAAATAGCTGCTAGGAAACACATACACACATACAAACACACACAAACAGAATTGAATCTTTTTTTTCCATCCATGTTTCTCAAAATAAACAAAAAATAATTAAACAAAATAAAAGAACCCATATATGGAATTAACATCAATCAGATTGTTTTATTTAAATCATGTTTGTAGGACGGGCTTCTCTTTGTATCATCCAAATTCATTCCATTTCACATTTGTAATTTTTATATCAATAATTGTTCATTTTATATTTCTTCAAAGGAAGGTGATCTTTATTTAGATTAAAAAAATTCTTTTATCAACTTTTATAACAACACCTTAATGATATGAAAGATGTTTCTGACTTTATTTTTAGATTTCAAAATAGGCTTTTATCAAAACTTAACTTTTTATTACATTTCTGAAAGACTTATGTATTCCATTTATTAGTACAAAAAACTATGATGAGAACGATAACCTGAACAAGGAAAGTCATTTTTAAAATTTGGAAACTGAAGAAAAAAATGTAGATATGCTTTATGAGCAGCTATCATTATTAAATACTTTTGAATAAAAGTTGCAATAAAATTTGCAAAGAAAAAAAGGGGAAAGTCTAAGTAGATAGATGGCAATGATCATTGCTATTTATGTGCTGTGTCTCTTCATAATATGGGTGATCATGGTTCTCCACAACTTCCAGTGCCATTTAGCTCTAAACAGTATTCAACTTTATCATCCTTCCTTGTCTCTTCTCTGCTATCCATTCACATAAACTCATTAAAGAAGTTACTCACTATTTCCCTTTACACACTCTTTTCTCAATATGTCCTGTGAGTATTACATTCTCCAAACCATCTTTCCTTGTAATGTGTCCCTGAAATTTAAACTGTTTTACTAACAATCTCCTTTTTATTGTTGTTAGAATATTTTCCCCATCCATTTGATGGCCGTCCTCATAGGTGCAGTCCTATCAAGTAAAACAAGACTTGCATGTTTATGTATATGGATTTGCATTTGATGAAAGCAGACAAATAGATTTCCCCAAATATTATGGTGACAAGAAAAAGGAATTAAATAAATTGTCTAAACAATACATGAAATGATAAGGCTTCAATTTGCATCATTAAGACACTGAGATACAAAGATTAGCTAATGTGTCCCTTGTATTTGGGCAAGTCCATTTACTTTCTTTCCTGATAATTACAATCTTCAAAAATCTAAATGCAACATCAATCACCATCTTTTGTCTTCTTGAATCCCGTTTATCTTTTATCCTTTCCTCAATCCTCCCAGTGTTTTCTCTCACTTTCATTCTCTGTAAACCGTTGCATACTAGTGGCATTTCAGCTTTGTTTGGGGTGAAATGATTTAAAACAAAGTATAGCAGTACTTGTAACATAATTCATTACTTATCCCTATGAAAACAAATGAAATGGATTTAAATCTATTAGATTCTTTTGTGTTCCATGAACCCTTCTGTATATGCTTGATCATGGCTCTCCACAATTGCCTATCCTTTGTAGCTCTTAGTAAATTTTCTCTTTTTGTTATATCTCCAAATCTCTGTTCCGTCATCCATTTACACAAGCTTGCTTCATAGGTTATATGCAGTTTTCCTCAATCCCTCTTGCCTTCAATATGTCCTTGTGGGTATAAAAGTTTCCAAGCTCTCTTTTTTCATTATGTTCTTTAGAAATTTCAACTCTCTCTATCTGATTTTAAATAAAGGGTCTCTTTTTGCTTCCATTTTCTGTAAAACTTTGTTGTTACTCACATGTTCAGTTCTTGGTATTTTCAGGATCCTTCTGTAGAACAACATTTCTGTTGTTTCAAGTACCTTCTTCATCTGTGAATAGTGATTGTTCAGCACTCACTGCCATATAAAAGGACTGATATTATGCAACAGTTCAGTACTCTTTTCTTTGTTTCTAATTAAAATTTTCTCTTAATACTTTACTTAGCTTTTGGAAGGGATCTTTTGCTATCCTATTGCATCTTCAGATTTCAGTGTTGCACTATTCAATCTCTGTTAAAACACTTCCAAGATATCTAAACTGTTGTACCTGTTTGATTTTGGCATCTCCATTTTGTAATTTGCATGTTAGGCTGTTACTTTTGCTAACAACCATACATTGTTTATTCTTGCTTTTTCTTCACTATCTTCTACAGGAGTTGACTGCTTGAAAATAATTAATTCAGATAAAACCCAATGTCTCAGTGAAAATGAAGATGTGTTTTATGGGAATAAACACATTCATCCTTTTCATCAAATAAATAAAGAATCTTTAGCACAATTGCTCCTTTAAGCATGTATATATATATATTGTCAGGATATCCTATACAGTGACAGATATTTTGGGGATATCCCACATGGAGAGAGATGTTTTCAGGATATCTTATACAGAGATATATATTTTTGGGATATTATTATTTGTGTGATTCTGTTTCAAAGTTAGAGTTTGTAAAAAAATAATCACAGGATCATGTTTTCATATTTTGTCATATAGAAATTTCAAGTCTGTAAACATAAACAATTTTTTAATGAAAAATTTGTGTACATCAGGATTTCTCTTTTTAATCAGTTTTTTTTCTAATGAGAAAATAAATTTGTTAATGCAATAACATAATAGAGCTTAAGGTATCCCTATTGCAACATTAGGGTCACATTTCAGGGTTTTAAATTAAGACTCGTCCTTCTCCTCCTCCTTCTAGACTGATTATGAGAGCTCAGTCTGTCCTGCTATTTAACACAGTTAATTGAAGGTCAAGATGGAATAATACTTTTCCCAAGAGTGTTTATGTATAAGTGAATGTAAGAAACTCAACTGGAATTTGAACTGGGTTCTATGATTTCTCATTCTGGCCCCTTATCCATTACACCACGCACACATTCTTTGATAATAGTGGGTGGTTAAATATTGAAGAATAAACTCAACTTTCTTTTTTATATAAATTCTTTTATGATACAAATTAAACCACTGAAATTTAATTAGGATACCATTTAGTCATGGGTAGCAATATGAGTCAGCTGAGTTTTTTTTTAAATTGGAAACAACAGGACCTGTCACAAAAATGAATATAGAACATTTACTACAGTATTTACATTAGTCGGACTATTGTCCTCATTTTTGTCGCCATTTTTGTCACAACGTTTCGGTCGTTGTACGCTCTGGCCTCCTTCAGGTGGTTGGAATTTCGAACTGAACCCTTTATTTTGATCACTGGGGTAGACTGTTCTAGTTCCACGTGCCATGTTTGATGGATGTCAGTTATCAGTTATCTCCTGCTAATTTTCCCTCTGAAAGTTCTCCACTGCCTTAACCGGGTATTGAACTCACATTCTGTCACTGGGTCTAACCAACGCCTTTATCCACTGTGCCATGTGTCCTTGAGGTATGCTTGGTCACAATATCTCACAGGAATCACTTCCAGCTGTACCAGAGAGACATATCTGATTGCAACAAATGTCTCTTTGTCTCTGCTGAGTGCAAGTATGTCCTCAAAGAAGCAAAGTTACTG